CTAGGTTTTCAAACATTGCAGTTTATCTCTTAACAGCGATATTGCTTGATTTAAAGCGATGGCTGATTACATATCTTTTTTTTTCTACTATCAAGTATTGTTATAAAATTCCTAACTTTACTATTTTTGAAAGATTTTCTTCGTGCGGACCTTTAAGCCGCTTTCAACCCTATACATATGCAAATAACACAATGTGCAAATGTGTCCGACAATATGCAAATCTGGATTGCACGTGATCAGCTATAAATTTGTAGCATTCGTTTGAGAAATTTTGCTGTCTTTTTATCGATTAATAATCATATTTTATAAGCTATTTTATAGTTTTATTTTAAATGCTAAAATAAGAATTAAATAATAATCTTATGATCAAATAATATTTTCTGTTTCATAGTATTTCATGCGTTTTAGCCAATATTATTTTTGTCTTTTCTTTTGATTGCATTTTGCAGATTTTACAAATCGATGTGTATGCTTTTTAAAAATCATTAATTTATATAAATCTGATTTGTAAGCAGTGAAATACTCAAAACCAACCCTAAATGATACTGATACAATCTATCTGTTTCTGTATGATTAATTTCATGAGAATTGGTTAAAGTTCACAAGCTGAAATTCTAGAGAATAAAATAAAGGTGAGATTTTTATATGAAATACAAAAAAACGCATGCAATCTAAATAAATAAAATAAACATAATATATAGTTATTAAACATGACAAGTAACAGAACAAACAAAATACCGTACATAAAAAAACTGTAAAAAAAATTTAAAGTTCTACGAGGGCGGATCGGAAAATAAAAAAGATTGTCGTTACAGATATAACTTTGAGTATATATATATATATATATATATATATATATATATGTGTGTGTGTGTGTGTGTGTATGTAATACATTTTAAATAATTTAATAGCACATTTTTAATTTCTTGATTATTGATTATTTATTAGTATTATTAGTTGCATATTATATAAATTATTTATTTATTCGTATTATTATTGCCCATCCTCTTTCCATACACTATTTCTGTAGGCCAATTACTTTCCATTAAACATCTTGATTTTAAAATTTTGTTATAGGTTGAAAAAAACTGACTACAAGAATTAATAACATTTTTAACATTTTAAACAAAATTTAAATTTTAAAACAAAAATATAGCAATTACGTTTAATTAATTTAAGATTAATTTTGCCAATCAGATTAATCTTAATACATGATATGTAGTATTAAGAACAAAATGCGTTTATAAATTGAGTTTTATCAAGTATAAAATTTAATTCATATCATAATATTAATAATATAAAACGTTATATTAACTGACGTAACATTTATGTATTAATCAATTTGATCAATTATATATGATTAATTATAGATTATCAATTGATCAATATAGACACTTATACGTGTATAAACCTAGTCAGTCTCTGGTAACTTGCAACCGCATGAGACAAAACTCGATTTCATCATGGGAACAATCTATTTGCGCCAAAGGCTATTTTTTCTCTAAAATGTTTTAAAAATCATCGTGATCAAGATTTTGAGCGTTCTTATTTTTTATTTATATGTAGTAAACTTTTCAAGCAAAACCTTTTATCATATATAAGAATGAATATCCCAAGCACCTGTTACTCTGCGGTTGACTATTTTTTTCGTATTCGAAACAACACAATCACTTCTTCCTTGTTACCACGCTTTTATTATGTCGTCTTAATATGTAAACACAAATCTTCACCGTGGAAGCGTTTCCAAAATTAGGTAAAATGTAGGAGATTTTAACGCAATAACAATTTTAATGCAATGCAATAACATCAAAGGTAATGTGCAACAGCAAGTAGTTAACATGCTTCAGGAGCATAATGATAATACTACAATATTTACTTAATTAATGATAATATACGATTAATTAATAATAATTAACGATTATATCGTAGGGTCGTACTTTATATTGGATTTTTAAAAATGCATCACAATGTAAACAATTTCAATAACTATTTATGGAATTTATCTCTTCTTAAATTGCTTTATTAACTTAATTTACTTTTTCATTTACTATTTTTTATTGTTTACACTTTTGCCAGGGTAAAAGTTCAGTTGGTCTTTTTTACCCCACCCACATGGGGTGGGGTAGCTTTTATAAGCGTTATATTAAAAAATGGTTGAATCTACCTTGAAAATAACAATACATCTGATAAAATAATTATATAACATATACTCAAAAATTATATCAAAGTCTCGTAAACTAAACCACAGTGCACACACTCAAAAAAACTAACAACGAAAGAAAATACTTTTGTTACGGATTTTCAAACGATGCCGTTTATCTCAGAAAAAAAATTGTTTACATCATACATTATAAAAGCTTTGATAAATCAAGAGCTTTATATTTTCAAACAAGTATGACTTTGGATTTTAAATAGAAGTGGATGCGTGTGAACCAAAAAGCTCCATATAGAATACCGTGTCCTAAAACACCTATTTGTGAAAAAATATCAAAGATAAATTCTATTACCAGAAACTTCACTGTATCAGCTAATTTTAGACATTTTTCCTATGACACTACTCATTTAATTGCATATAAAGTAATAGCATTTTACAGCAATATGTTTATAAATTTAAAACAGATAATAATTCGGAAAATACCATATATAAATAAATTCATTATTTTATATGCAATTTTATGCTTTTTCTATTTCATATGGAAATGCGGTTCATATAGAATGTTAAAATAACTCAAATCAATATAGTTATTGTTTCTTATAAACGAATCCAATAAAAAATGAATCGTAAAATAATCATGTTTAGGCAATATTTTTCTAACTATCAGTATACTGTTGCTGTAAGTCTGTGCAGATTATAATTAAAACCGCAAACATATGTTAAACGTGCAAAATAATCGATATATCCGCTAAATTAAAAAAAATAAGAGAAAGTGCCGGTCAAGTAGCGGTTTGTTTTTAGCAAGCCGCGGATGCACGTGGCTTGTCAGCGGGCACGCGCGGACGCTTGTTCGAAACACGATGAAGGAAAACCGAGACAGTGCGACGCGACACTGAGACATGCCGTGTCCGTTTGCACCCAGTGGCGGTGCGATGGTAAATTATGACATGTCTTGATCTACTATAGCAATAGCTTCATCTGCCTAGTTTATCTTTAACTTCCCGTAGGTTAAATTATAGTAATCACAAAAAATCGAAAATTAAAATTTTTATATATCTTTACGTTTCAAAGGTTTCTGAGCATTTTGGCATACCTTGGAAAAAATGGATGTATGTGTGTTTGTGTGCGAATACAAATTTTCGTCGACGGTTTCGGGAACACCGATCATTTGAATAATTCAAAAAACATTCAATTCGTATTGTTAAGGAGACGTGCTGATTAGTTTTTGGCGAAGGCAGGTCTAGCCAGGGCAAAAAGTGCCAAAAACTCAGTTTTCAAAAGAACGGACCGTTTGATTTTAAAAATTCAAATAACATTTTGAATGTATTCGCACTTGTATTGACAAGATGAAAAACTGATTAAATTAATAGGAAGGCGGGTCCAGCGTTTATATGGACTCTCAATAAAAATAAGTTAAAAAAATGTGATTTGGCTGTCAAAAATGTTTATTGGACATACGTACATCAAATTATCATATATTTTATAGAGATTTGAATAATGTGTACACATTTTGTGTAAATGTTTTTGGGTTCCGTAATAAGATTTTTAATTACGGTACGGAAAGTTCCAGCAATTTGCCTTAAGGCACGATGCCATGTACCCCACTAGTTTTAAAATATTATTGTATTGATATGTATGAGTGCATACTACACATTATACAAGCCGGTAAAAGATTCTCAATGTCAACCTTTGTACTGGATGTATTGTTATTATTACGAAAGGATTTTTTGAAATTTAAATTATTTTCTTCGAATTATTTAGAGGGCTAATATCATGGGTATGGTCAGCTTAATTAATATCTTGTAAAAAAAAATAGAGTAAAAATATTGTTTGCTTTTTTGTTACAGTCTTTCAAAAATCGCATGAAATTCATACCTGGAAATACCCTTAACTACCTGGAATACCCTTAATTAGTTAATGTAGATAGTCAATAATCGAATCATGAAGATATTTATGCAAACATGTTGTATAATTTTCATTAAAATGAAGGTTTGTCATAGCTTACAATTCAAAATTAATTTTATTAAATCAGTTATTTTTAATGATTTTTTTAAGTGTACTCATTAGAAGTTGATGTGGCAATAACATACTGTGATAAGAATGAAATGCTCGATACTGTTAATAAAAATCGATGTTCAATAGTTAAAAAAAAAGTATTCCAATAAATGTGCTCTTCTCGACGCAACTGGCACCTTGCGTGAATCTCGTTGCGCCGAAGAGCCTGGGAAGGATACATAATACGTGGAAACAATCCGCATTCGCGAATTAATACGCATACCGTCTCTCTAACGGAGGAGGGGTCTAGTTGATCGCGGTCCTCGGTGGGAAAATCATTGAGTCCCTCGTCGCACACACGCGTCTCACGGGGGTGACGCATGCAGGCCTTGCTTGCATTCGACAAAGACCGTACACGAAGCCACCGTGTATTGCGAGGCAGACCGGGACGCTACTACTATACGCTTCAAACTATAAGGTCGTCTGAAACCGAAACTACCCCATGATCTAGGTTCCTGTAGGGCGAAAGGGACGAGCGTATATGACGTACGCAGAGAGCACGTGGTTGATGTTTACAACAGAGAAGGGAGGAGAAAAACCTGTAAGCTTGGAACTACGGGGTTGATACTCTGCATTCGTTCGGACGACGTTCCTGCACGCGCACGCACGACGCTCTAGACGCCTACGCAACGCGATAGCACGCGTGTCGGTCACGCGAAGACGTTTCCGTTTACTGATAACGACAAAGACTACTTACTTACTTCCTTACTTGTTCTGCAAGGTGACCGTGAATTATTGATTGAGTTATTGATTAAGTTTGTGTTAAGTGCTAAGTGTTTTGTGCTACAAAATGGATCATCACGGAACACCTTTACATTGGGGATATACTGGCACTAATGCCTCACCAGGTTGGGGACCACCGCAACCTCAAAGAGCTGCTAAAAGAGCCTTGTCGGAAAGTGATGATTGCGATGATGTCTTCTCGGAAGAATCATCTAAAGAACAGTGAGTGTCCAAAATTTGATTTTTTTGCAAAAGCATGATCTTGTTTTTCTCAATTTCAAATACCAAACGTTTATTCTATGCACATTCAAAATATTTGTTATAACGTTTATTAGTGACTGATGTCAGTGCTAAAAATTTGAAGTGACACATTTTTGTAAAATAACTCTTCGCCGTAGAAGTATTCTCATTAATATCCTTGTTGATAACATTTATTCAAAAATATAAGTTAACACCTTCTTTCATATTGACAGATACACGATAAAAATAAAAAGTTCAAAAATACACAAAGAAGTAACATTTTTTTATAGCAATATAAACACGTAAATTAACTACAAACAAATATTTACCCCAATTTTAAAAGCAATAAATATGTCATTGCCATCTTGCTAAACCAGCAGATGCTATCTTATATGTATATAATAATCAGTGAGATTCTTAAAAACAGACGTAAAATCTATCTTATTTGTATACCTGAACTTTAATTCTTGAAGAAATCCTGTGCTCATCGATTTCTTTTCTCATAATAAAAAATAAATCATCTCACCCATTGAATGATTGAAATTTGTTCTAAGGAACATCTAGATTAAAAATATTTTTAAAGGTTATATTTTTATTTTAATTAGAGAATAGCTATGTATAACGATTTCTCAAAATTAATAACCTAACCTTATTCGGGGTTTAAACAAAATTGAATGGTATCGATTTTAATTACTTTTCTGTGGTTGTGTAAAATGTGTATATATATATATATATTATTTAGATTGCTTATTTATACACACACACGCACACACGCACACAAACACACACACGTATATATATATATATATATATATATATATAAAATGAATTATATTAAATATGTATTAATATTTATAAATAATAAAAAATGTGTTTATTCTTTATTAGCACTTCGCCTGGAGACACTGACAGTTGTCAGATGCTAAGTCGCAAAAAACGTCGCGGAGTAATAGAAAAGAAACGAAGAGATCGCATAAACACATCTCTGACAGAACTGAAACGTTTAGTGCCTTCTGCTTATGAAAAACAAGGATCTGCCAAATTAGAGAAAGCCGAAATTTTGCAACTGACTGTTGACCATTTGAAAACATTACATGCTAAAGGTATGTTGAAACTTTTAAATTAATAAACCCATTATAATAATAGAAATATTCACATTTTATTCAAATCATTTCTTCTGTTTTCATTAATTCAAATAAATAATTAAATTTGTAACTAATAAATTTCAATCTGAGCAGTTTTTTTAAAACGCGAAATTGTTTAAATAGTTCATACTTACAAAACAAATTCTTGTAAATGTATTCATATTTGATTATTCATGGAATCCTATAATCCCGGCCTAAACTATTTAAATCTATGTGTGCGTCGCGTTCCCAGGCTCAATCGGAAGGATTTGTAAAGAAGGATCGACGTAACTTCCGGACTAGTCCTATCCGCAAACAGGTTCTCATGATTTAAAAATCTAGTTCTAGCGTTAAAATTTCCGATAATATTAAAATTATATTACGTATTTTTTCTTAATTTTCTTACCGGAATTATTATTACGTTACTTTACAGTAAATGAATAAAATAAAATAATATATTTTCTGCGTACAATATTTACATGCCAAACATATTTTACAAATTAATTGAAATATTTTACATATAATATCAAACATATTTATAACAATTTATTGTACCTATGTAATTAATCGAAAAAAACATTATAGATAATAATAGAAAATAAATCGTTTTTATTTTAAAAAATATATAATGTTTCGCTAAATGTTGTATATTAGTATATTAGCATCCCTAATTTTTATCGCGAGAGCGACTACTATAGGGTAGGGCGGGGCTAGTTGAGCAAAGGGGCAAGTTAAGCAATCGAAATATCTCGAAAATTATTCAACGTCGGTTTAGGCATTATATGGCGGAAAGATAGAGGTTTGGGAGAAATAGACATTTCGCGATCGCTAGTGGCCGCTGGACAAATGAGTGAGGCTTACGGGCGTTTTGTTTATTTTGAGACCAAAAAGTAAAAAAGTCATTCATCACGAGTTTTCGTCTAGTTTAGTCAAATGTTATTTATTTTTAACCAGGTAAATTTTATTCTTCCATATAATTATAGTACTTTTAATATGCACAGAGATTCTGGGTATAAATCTCACGGTTTTTTCATAAACTCACTTTTATTTTGAAATTCCGAGTTGGGGCTAGTTGAGCATAGTTGCTATACTTGTTCTGTCACTAAGACAATTACCATTAACTTCCAGAAATTAATTATTATTTTTAAGATTTAGGCTAAGTCTATGAGTAATGATATAAAGAAATAATGATTTTAAACAAAAATACTGAATATAATAGTAAAATAATTCCTAGGTTAATTAATCGTTAATTATTCAAAGCAAATTACTATAAGTTTTGTTTTCTCTGTCCATAAAGATTATAAATATAGAACTGGTTATTAAAAACTTATTTTATTTTATCACTAATCGACATTGAACCTATAATTTCATTATACTTTCTTAGTGCTCAACTTGCCCCACCTATGGGGTACATTGAGCATACTTGACTTTTTGCATTTAAACAGCTGTATCTTTTAAATTTTACTTATTACCAAAAACTAGTATTAATACTTTTGTTAAGCGATAAACAACAAATTCATTAAGCCGTATAGCAATTTATTGAGACTTTTCATTGAGGAGCTACATCCGTTTAAGTAAAAATTTGCTCAACTAGCCCCGCCCTACCCTACCGCACTTATGGCTTTTAAATTTGAGATATTGTTAACATATATAAGATCCGATTCCTCGGAAATAAGAAACCTTGATACGGCGATTTCTAATTGAACAACTTCCTGACTCGGCGACCCGCCTCGGCCACCTGTTGACCGATTCGCATCGGTGAGCTTTCGAGCTTAGGGTATACTAAAATATCATTGGGACTAATAACGTTTTTCACCAAGTAAATTTGATTTAGATTTGAATTTTAATATGCAGATATATTTTTGTAAAATCTTAACATATTGATATATTTCAATACGCGCAGTTATGTATTATAAAACATTGCTATTACTTACATTTTTTCTCAAATTTTTCATCAATTCATCAATTCAAATTTTAAAAAGAATACAAATAGATCATAACTTTTCACTTTTTCCTTTCAAATCGTTAATGCTTTTCTATGCAATATATAAACAAATAATAAACCGCTTTCTCAAATTTTCCAATTCAATCAACATACATTTTCTAACATATTACGAAGCTTTGCATTCTTCCTTGGACAGGTGATCAAGGTAACTAATATATGGTCCGAGACGGTCGACCGAGTTTTCGTCCTTACTGCGGTTTTTGCTTTGGCCACAACCTGCAATAATCTGTGCATGTACTTCAATACTCTACGTCTTCACCCACATGCAAAATGTTCCGACCCTATAAATTCTTGGTTACGTATCCGGTCAAAGAAATATCCTTGAAGCATCTGCTTTTAAAGAAACGAATAAAAATTTAATTTCACTTTTGAGAAAACATTATAATGATAAATTCAAAACTGATCTCTAAAATTGCACATTGCATAAAAAATGATCACATAACTTTGATATAAGGTACCAAATTGAAAAACACAACATAAATACGCAAGCCAAATGAAACCCAAATAATTATGAATAAAATATAGAATATGATTATATCATAAAATATTATTTAAGATCATTTCAACTAAAACTGTTTCAAGAATTATATTCATAAATTATTATTAATTCTTAAAATTAACGATATCGATTTGTGTAACAATGCGGAATCCTTTAAAAACATATTGTACATCGTACATCAACCATATAGCAATAAAATTGATGTTAAACATACGTTAAGGCATAATAAACCAAACAATTATATCGATTGTAATTTTGTAGTAATTTGCAAAGTATTGTTATAACCATATACCTGTTATTAACTACACGAAAAGATTATATACGATCTGATCGTGTATTATAAAAAAATTATTTTTAAGATTAAGTTTTTTGTACGTTCAACATATGCTTCGACAGAAGCGAAAGTATTTTCTAATAAAAACAAAGATTAAGGTCACAATATTGTCCTTCGAAAGGATGATTATATTTCAGACAGCAGTAATGAAAAACAGTAAGAATTTTAATATCAAATAAATATTTATAGTTTATAGATTCATTTGAAAATAATTCGGCTCAATGCGTTAAATACTGAAAAGTTCTAGATTATCTATAACTTTCAATAATCGTCAATAAATATAAAAGGCAAATAATCATGCACGCGTACCAGTTTTTATTTTGAGCACCTCAAACTAAAAGTAAATACATAAAGGGCAAATAAGTGAGAAGCATAACCAGCGAAAAACTAATGACATTTATTTACACGCTTGAAGCTATTTGTTCAATGCGATGCAACAACCAACAATACCAGTGGGATCGTGGCGCAGTGTGTTTGCCATTGAGTCTTAGCTATTACTGCATGCCGTTATATCTGGTGGGGTGGGTATGGTGCCCGAATAAATTTGACGGCGAGGGGGTGGCCGCGTCGATCGTGGGAATTGAATTATAAACATGGTCTCGCAATATGTTGGACGATGATAAAGTCAACAGTGAGAGCCCTGTGAAAGCTAGGGTTCGCAGCGCTATCAGATCGCTCGATATTGCCATTAATGCGTTATTAGGGGCGCGGTATTAATTTTTGAATAGTCAATTGCATGGGGCGCCTAAAGGTAGATTTATATAGCTCATTTATTTCACACGTAAATGTTTCGATTTAGAGTTATCTATCCTAATGAGATAAATTTGTGTCTAATATTTAATGTATAATGTACCTAATAATTAGTTTATAGATTATAATGTAGAAACTCAAAATAATAATACAAACAATTTTTGTTCTCAGGTTTGGATACATTGGCCTACGACCACCAACGATTTGCTATGGATTATCACAACATTGGCTTTCGTGAATGCGCTGCTGAAGTAGCTCGTTATCTAGTCTCAATAGAAGGAATGGACATCCAAGATCCGCTACGACTTCGAATCATGTCGCACTTGCAATGTTTTGCAGCACAACGCGAGTTATCCGCCGCCACCAAACCGCCCAGTAATGTATCTTGGCCACCATTAGTACCACCACCACCGCCACCCAGTCAGCATTACGAAACGCACGCTCCTCAGCACCATCATTACGATCCGTCATGCACGCAACAACATCCTTCCCAACAACCTCCACAGCCGCACCAAGCCCAGCAACCACATCAACCTCAGCAAACCTCAGGACAACAATTACAACAACAAGCTGCGACAAGCGTCGCGTCCAGCATTAGGCTACAACCTCAACCTGTGTCCGCGCCTTTGACGGCGCTCTCCGCCGTGGGACACCATCAGTACCATCCTGGACAATACCATCACCTGAATGCGTCCTCATTCGCTCCACCTGCATCTGTGCCCACATCGGCGCAACATTTGCACCCACATCAACACTCTGCCTATGCGCAGAATCCATCGAAACCGTATAGGCCTTGGGGTGCAGAAGTCGCTTATTAATATATTATTATATTAATATATTAAAAATTGAAAACTATAATACAGATTGTAAATAAATTATTTATAATTTATAGAGTACCTATGCAAAACAAAACAAAAAAATTATATCGTATCTAACTCATAAAACTACATAATTTAGATAAATTGAAATATCATCAGAAAAGATATTCTAAAAAAACTAAAACAAGTATATATATATATATATATATATATATATATATATGAACATTATTTTATTTGTAGTTCAAGATATTTGCTGCAATGTTCACAAACTTAATTATTACTGAAACATAAACCAAGGAGTTCAAATTTTGAGTAATAATAACTAGTATTTCAAAAATAACCTTTAAAATGAAATATTAAAATGAATCGCATAAAAATGAATATAATTCAAAAAGTAAGAAAATTCGAAACTCTTTAAAAACAATTAGAATAAACAATTATTTATTTTTGTAAATATATAATGAGCTTTAGACACTAAAAAGTGTGATATTGTACATATAGCCTTAAATAGAGTTTGTGTGTGTAATGTATTTTTATAATTGTATCTGTCGTTATGAGAGAATGAATTTCATATAGTCAAAACATGTACCTTCAATATTTGTGAATATTTGAAAAATAGATATATAAAAAATATTTTATGATAAAATTTATACAGATCTGAATATTGTATATAAAATTCTAAACATATCAGTGCCCAAAAGACTAAAATATATATTTTGATACCAAAATTTTTATATTGATATTCTTAAATTATTTGATCTCAAGATATAAACTTGTGATCTCACAGTTGCCTAACATGAGCAATAAAGAAATAGAAAAAATATAATAAGAAGTCTTTTATTTTTTATATTAGTTTTTAATTACATGAGAAATATGCGTTTTATTCCAGAGCAAGCATCTAGAAGAATTTGTCGATTTTTAAAGGTAATAAGATAATTGCAGAAATGTTCAAAAGGTTTAATTGACCACTAAAAGCTCGCAAAATAAATTAACTTATATTTTATAAATAATAATTTCATTCCCAAACTACAAAAAACTCGTTAGTGCTCAAGAAATTTCAAAGTATTAACCCCTATCAAAGTAAAATTTTATGATCTTCGATGTGCTAGCCATAAAAGTTTGCATTGTCAAGCGTGCAAGAAAGGCTATAGAGAGAGGGTTATAATATTTGTCATCGACCAGTCGCATAAAGTACAAAAATAAAAACATTAAGAGGGACCTGAACAATAAGCGATTCGAGAGCTACTTCCGTCCGAACAAGAAATACATATATCGCTGCATCAGCCCTTGCGTCCGTTAGCTAAAATCTGATTTCCAGTTTGCCAATATATTGAATAATATGGTATTATTTAATATATTGACTAGTGGGGCGCATGGCATCGTGCCTTAAGGCAAATTTCTAAAACTTTCCGTACCAATAATTATTTTTTTAAAAAAATATTAATATTTTTCTTTAAATTTTGAAAAAAAATTTGAATTTTTGGGACAAAAACTTTTGCCAAACCTTTTTTTTTTTTTGAAATATTTTAGAAATTTTGAACTATTTTTCAATGCAATCGCACTGCTTTAGCTGCATAGAGACGAAATATCAAAGCGCGTAAGCGCCGCGTCGCGGTCTTGCAGACAAACGACGTTACGGAAACCATAGAAATGCAAACAAAATTGATACACATTATTAAAATCTCCATAAAATATCTGATAATTTGATGTGCATATGTCTAATGATTATTTTTGACCGCCAAGTGCCGTTTATTTTACTTTTTTTACTAGATCTCCGAAACCGCTAGACCTGCCTCCCAAAAATTTAATCAGTTTTTCATCTTGTCAATACAAATAAAATGTTTTTTGAATTATTAAAATCGGACGCTCCGTTCTCTTAAAAACTGAGTTACCGTTTTTGGCACTATTTGTCCCGTATTTTCGGAACGGCTAGACCTGCCCCCGCCAAAAACTAATCAGCACGTCTCCTGATCAGTACAAATCGAATGTTTTTTGACTTATTTAAATCGGTTGATCGGTGTTCCCGTAATCGTCGACGAAAATTTGTATCCGCACACACATACACACACGTTCACACACACAAAAATACACATACACACACATACATTCATTTTTTCTAAGGTATGCCAAAATATTCAGAAACCATTGAAACGTAAAGATATATAAAAATTTTCATTTTCGATTTTTTTGCGGTTACTATAACTTGCCCTACGGGAAGTTAATAATAAAACTTTGTTAGAGCTTGAAATATATTTATTGCTCACATCTTGATTATGGAATAATAAATGTATAGAATAATTTTTTTTTACTAAATAACATTTAAATATATTATAATTATTTTCTAATATAAATTGCGAAAAAGGTGTATATATATATATATAAATATATGTGTACTATGAAAAATTTGTAACCTGGTCCTTTTCACTCCATAGGCGGTGTGAATTGGGACAGCCAGAGGGCAAACAGGTCTGATGTCCAATTATAATTTTGAGAGGATTTTTCAAAATAATTGCTACATTATTAAAGTAATGTAAAATATAAATTTTATTTTTGCATTTCTTACAGAGAAAACACTGTAAATAATCTTAATCTGGTATTTTGTCAGAAATATTTATCAGCAGAGTTAGATTGACTATTTATTTAATTTATCTCTTGTAAAATTGCTTTTTTCTCACTATTTGCTATTTTTATTTTTTATACCTTTGCTAGGTCTTGTAAACTAAGCAACAGTGTTGTGTTGTTTTTCTCCCGATAGCAACGTCGTAAAAATCAAGGTGATGGCTGGTTATACATCTTTTGCCGTCTACTTTCAAATATTTTTGTAAAAAAATACCTATTTTTACTGATCTTTGAGATATCGGTCGTGGACTTTTTAACTCGTACTCATGTAATCATGATATTTATTTCTTTCAATTATTTAAGAAAAAATGTGTCGTTTGACAAACCACGGCATTTATACAAAACACTAATCATATCAAAGTACCTTCCTCATATGCATGAAAACGAGTTATTCGCACAGTTCAGCGCACACCTCTTTGTGAAAGCATCTGAAGCGCAATAGTCCGTAAATTTTCATAACCATAATATTAATATTCTGTAGAATCACCCTTCACCGGGTCAGTAAAAAACACTAGATAATCTCATGTTTTGTGAGTAAATTTACGCAGTTATTATTACGTGTTAACAGCAATTATGAAACGAGGAAAAGTTTGCAGACCAGTGGTCAATCGAAATTGGGTCTATGAAGCTGGACATTGAAAGCTGTTCTCGTTGAAAGTTTGTTTCTAATTAGGGATTTTTTCGAAAGTGTGTGCGAGACACGTGGCGAACGCTAATCGGACGACACTTTTATTCTGGATGAAGAAAAACAATGTTTATCCTAAAGGTACTAACTGACCAGCACGTGTAAAAGAATGAACTACCGCACAGTTATATGCATCTTCATAAAAAATAAGCATTAACATTTAAATTATTTCTTGTAAAAATTTAATTATTGAATAAAAATGAAACTGGAAAACGATTTTTTGTTCGATTTTTCGTTATCGAAGTATTACTGACTTCATAACATTTAAATTTTTATGATCACATTCTTTATTATCAAATGATTATGATAGCATACTTTATTATCAAATAAATAAAACTATGAAATCATTCATAATTTGGAGTGCAAAGTAAATTATGTAATGAAACGCAGATCAAGTAATTAAAATATTTACATTACCATTAATCTTTTAATCTGTTATCCAAATGCTATTTTCTATTCAATCATCTCAACTAGCAATGGTTTAGCGTTTTTCTGGACCAAATGAGGGATGAACAAAGCGATTCTAGAACCGGATTTATCTTCCTGTAACTGGACCTCATTATATTGCAACTATAATGAATGCCTGAGGGTTACCAAAATTTACTGGAAAATCAAGTTTTGTATGATTTCTAACAGCATTTGGTTAAACAAATTATCGAACAATTTGTGATTTATGCTAACGACATAGAAAGCAGACACAATTGCTTTGATGTTATGCTTTTGCAAACACATTTCATATATTTTACATACAAATTCCGTATTTTATTGTACAGCATAAATAAGAAAATGAATGCATTAATTCAGAATCAGTTTAATGAATCACAACGTGCACGCAATATATCAAAATATCCAGTTTCAAAATAATAACTAATTTTATTTTTATGATATGTTACAAAAATATTTTCAAACACATCTATTCAAAATATTGTTTATATTTTATACACACATTTTTAATGCATAGGGTAAATGAACTATTTACGTCTTGACTTAAAAATAACGCATTTAAGTTGAAGCTATTCCCTGTACAAAATCAACCCGCATTGAGGAAAATTTTACCATGTTTATTTAAATATATTTCGCTTCCCACAATAAATAGAGCGGTTAATGAGCACCCCTCATTTAAATATTTTTAACTTGGTTTTTTTGAGAACCTCATGTAAAATCTAATGATGTATAACTATAATATAAATTTGTAACTTAAACGAATTGTTATTACGTATAAATCAATTTGGTTTTTGGTAGTAAAGTAAACATTAAAGCATTAATCAATTTAGGAAATATATCTTGTGTGTCTGAGATTCTTCTTCAATATTAATAATATTTTTCTCAGCGGCCGCTAATAAATAAAGTTATTAGGAGTCCGTCCGTCCTAAATACATATTTAGGTTATAATTTTCAATTTTGGTGTTCAACGTAATAATTTAACTGCATTGCATTGATTAAATAATGTAACTATTATTTCATAAAACCTCTTTTAAATTAAAAATGAAATGGTGAATCTTAATAAAAAGAACCAGGTTACAAATATTTGTTAATAGCAATTTTTTTCTTAAATATCGAAATTTAATTGTAATTCTAGTTAAAATTCTATAGTTCACTTATATACTTGAAATGAATAATTTTAACTTTTTAATCCAGTTTATTAGATAATTTTTTCAACATTCCAACTTCGCTTGATTAAGTTTTGTTTATT